AAAAGGGTTATTAAACTTTGAAGGTTTAAAGTTTAATTCAATTTGAAATGTTATTATTTTAATTAAAATGGTAATTTCAAACTAAATTTCCAATATATATATTAATAATTAGAAGGGGAACCAAAAAGTTTATGGGACCCTCTCTAGCATTTTAGTCTCCCCAAATTAATAAAACTAAATTTTATAAAAGGATTATTAAACTTTGAAGGTTTAAAGTTTAATTCAATTTGAAATATTATTATTTTAATTAAAATGGTAATTTTAAACTAAATTTCAAAATATATATTAAAAATTAGAAGGGGAACCAAAAAGTTTATTGGACCTTTTTTAGCTTTTTAGTCCCCCCTAATTAATAATTAATATTAACTTAATTATTATATTGATATAAATTTTATTTAAAATACCATCACTAAAAATAAATATTACTTGACATTATACCTTTCTTTTTGCTCTAAAATTGATCGCTTAGATACTGCTTCAAACGGAGTAATCTCTCCAGTTTCAACCTGCTTTTGCAATTTCGCCTTCTGATCCTCTTTATCATCAATTTCTCCATCTTCCTTGGCATTCAGTTCTATATTATTCTCTTGTATTTCACCAACCTGCTGATTGTTTGACCTTGTAGCGCGTTTAATATGTTCCGATACTTCTTGCAAAATACTGTCTTCTGTTTTAATAGACACTAACTGCAAATATTAATAATATTGTTTTACAAAAAATAAAAAAAATCTACATATTTTATTATTTTCCCAGACTATGTGTGTGTGTGTGTTGTACCAAAATAATTGATACCAGCAATCTTTATATTTTTCATATATCATCTTTTTTTTTGACATACAAATATAATTTTTAGCACTACAAATCAAGTTCAGTATTATTTAATTACCTCCTGTAAATTATCGGGAAGCACATCATCTAGTATATTTTTCATCATGTTATTATCAATGTTCCATGCAGTATCACGGATAAATTTTAATTAGATACAAATTTAAAAATTAGATAAAAAAATTTATTCCTTATCTAAGTAAAAATTATTCGAATTATATCATATTTGATGTCATTTTAATCGTGTCTCTGCCATAATGCGGAATAATATAATACTTCATAGGTATTGCATATGATTTATACACCTATATATGCAATAAATACCACGAAATCATACATTTTGGTAGACATTCATTTCATGTCGGATATAAATCACACATTGAAATCATATAAATCGATCGATTATTCATGAAAATTATCATTCCATATAATCAGAGAGAAGCCTGAGAAGGGCCACGCCGCCGCGAAAGACGCTTTTTCTAGCTAATGCAGTAGCGCTAACTGGATCCATTTTAGAACCAGTGGAATTACATGGCCAAATTCACTTTACGATGCCATGGTAAAACGATCGGTTGGTGCGTGTCCGTGCTAAATTCATAATTGTGAATCAAAAATACGGAGAAATGTTATAAATTTATTAATGTTTTATTAGTTGCGCGTAATATTTTGTCATTTTAGTATATACTACGGCCAGCGATAATAAAAGTTATTATTGAAGTAATAAAAGTTTTAATTTTTATTACATAAGATTTTTGAATATTATAGATAAATTATTCGATCGAGAAATTATTTGCTATTATAATATAATTAATATTTAATTAATATTTATAAATAATATGTAATTATATATATCGCGACGATAGATCTCGAATCGCATATTTCGTAATTTATTCATTTAATTGAATAAGAATTAAAGTAATAGGAAACCAAATTATATAAATTATCGCGATCTTCACGGACAATAATTATTTCTTTAATAATACATAGAGTCAAATATATTTTATTCACGATGCTATATCATTTGACTTTTCGACGATTTAGATATAATTTGGATTAAAAACGTGCTGTAAAACGATCGAATCGGATAATTAACGTAACGATAAGCTCCGTGATACATTAATCGTTTAATAAATAATTTATCCATAATTTTAAATACTTATATAATTTAATATTTCGCATATACAGGGTGCGGAATTTATAAACATTCTGAGAGGAGGAAGAGGCCTAGGAGAGGTATCCTGCACCAGCGGAGCAACCTAAGGGTGAGTATTATTATAAATCCCGTATATGCGTTAATTCGGTTCATTTATTTGAATACTTTAAACAAGAGAGATTCGCACAAAGAGAGAAACTCTTATATAAATCTCTTATATAAAAGTTTCCATTTAAAAAAAATAATTTTCTTTTTTAGACCTTATAAAAATATTCCATATTTATATACCTGCTTATTATTACACGCATAGGATATAAAATTCGGTGCGTACAATAATAATTTCTTGAAATATTAATTATTTTAAGTGTTGCTATAATTTGGATTTTATATTTGTATGTTGCAGACAACGTAGCCTCAAGATCAACAACTCCGCTGTTGCGCATCAGTGCCGGTGAGTGACAAACTTTCATTTAATTTTAAGATAACGGATTTCTAGAGATTGTAGATGTAGATCGTAGCTTGTAGATTATAGATGGATCCGTTATCTTAAAATGGATGGACTAGAATAAATTAGATCATAACTTTTGACATCCTTTTAAAAAGAAATTTGCATTTGCATATTACAAAAGCAAACTAAAACATAAATAAAGAAATATAGAAAAACTTTCAAGTCTTTATCAAATTATTCTTTATCATTCTGTGTGATCAATTATTTATCAATTATTTATTTAATAAAGAACGTGTCACTAATTTTATTATTATGTATTATATAATAATTTATTCTTATAACGCACGTTGATTTTATTTTAATATTTTGTAGTCCATCCATCTATATGTAGTGTAGCATATCAGAAAACTTTGTTTTGACTGATATAAATTTAAGTAATCGATCCATCAAATCATGTATAACGTTTAAAGAAATAAGTAAATAATAGTATAAAGTAAAAGTATAATGAAAAATATATAAAAGTAAATGTTTACTTAATTCTATTTTATTATAAATTGTATTATAAGAGTAATATTATATATTACAAAAATTTTAATCAATCACAATTTTTAATTAATGATTTGACATTGTATATCAGTTAAAGCAAAGTTATATTGAAACAACGTACAACAAACGGTCCTAACGTATTACGACCGTCAAGCGTAAAATTACGCTCATGCACCGGCGATAATAATTGCCGGCAACGGAAGGAATTTCTCTCCTTCATTGCCCTCTGATAGAGGTCAAAGCTACATCTCTGGCTAGATGTAGCCAGAATGAATATGGCCAGGATCAACGAAAGGTAGGTCCAACTGGCCCAACGGAAGCAATATAATATTAGGGCGCGCGAGTAGGACACGCGAGTAGGACACGCGAATAGAGTACGAGAGTAGGACGCGCGAGTAGGACAAATTTTTCCCCCAAATTTCGATAATCGCGGATTCCCGCTGGTTTAGCCAGCAAAGTAGGGGTTAGGATTATTAGGATCAATTAAAATTAAAAATTAAAAGTAAAAATTATGAATTTTTCTACAATATAAATTAAAAATTAAAATTAATTATAACACATTTTTTTACAAATATGTACGCATGCTACATTTTTTTTTAATAAATCAAAAATTGCATTTATATTTATTATGTATAACATAAAATTTAATATACATGTGTTACATTTTATTTTATAGATTAAAATTTATATATATATTTGTTATATTGGTATGTCAATTTATATAATATTAAACTTTTAGATGTAAATGCTATCAATATCAAATTATCTGCATTATTGGGTATATCGGATATATCTATTTGATACTGATAGCTTCATTAATTGTAAATTCTACTGTAATTATAATTGTACATTAATTAATTGTAATTATAATTGTTATAATTTAATTTATATATAATTATATATTATAATTGTATTAATAATATTATAATTTTTTTGTAAATTACACGAAAATTTACCGAAAGAACATATATGGCAATATAATAGAAATTCTAAATTAATATATTTGTTAAATATTAGTTTTTCTATATTATTTATTTTAAAAATATTTATAAGCTTAAGAGCTTGTATTTTTATATCAAAGAATCGTTGATAAATTTGGGAAATTTTATTTCAAGTTTTATAAGTATCATGAATATCGCTAATTCTTCTAATGTTTAATAAAAAGTTGTTGAATAAAAATGTGAAGACTCAATGTTAAGCCAACGATTAAATGTTAGCTTTTTGTTCACGAAATTTGATGACTGTCTTGGACATTGCAGAATCGCGAATAAATTATTCCGGATTTTATGATTTGATTTTGATTTGATTGATATTTACGAATTTTGTATCGCAATTAAATATTTGTCAAATAAATTAATAAATTACGCGAAAACACCGCGTTCTTTCCACGTTCTTGGACGCGATCGCTGTCTTAGCTAAGGGGCCTTATCGCTGTCCCTCTCGTCAGGTGAACGTTAGTAATGTTGCGTGGTTCGTACCGGCGAGGAGTCGAAACAATCTTCATCGTGTAGGATTATTTCTTGTCGGTTCGTGTAAGATCCATCCGCAAAGTCTAGTTCGGTGTTCTGTTGAAAATTGGGAATGTTCGTTGCAGGATTGGAATTAAACCCAGGTTTTCCTAGCGATTTCTGAAAGCAATGGTTTCGGTAGTAATTCAACGACGATTGCCACACGCCTTTTCGAAGTCAAATCAGGAAACTAATTTAAACAGTATATTTGAAGGGAAGATATATATTTTTCTTCCTCTTTGTAAAAACTGTTCTTCTATCATTATTAATATTAGTATTATTATTGTCTTAATGCTAAAACAACCTAATAGTAGATTGAACATGGATATAGCTATTGTGTATAAATTTCTATTTTTCAAGTAATTTCAAATTGTAATCAGCTTGCCTGTTGATATTTTTGATACAAAAATTATGGTTACAAACGAATATATTTTATTAATTAATTTTTAATTAATATAATTTTTTTTAAGAAAGTATTTCTAGGTACTGAGGATATTAACATTAGTTTTTGGTTTCTTTTAAGAAATCATTTGCAGATATACCCCGCCATTCTAGGTGCGCCCTGGATAGTTTTTAGATATACCATTCTATATATATAATAAAATACATGCGCAAATTAACATACCATTTCATAAAACTTTTATACTTTTTTTGAATATTATGTTAAAAAATATTATATATGAATGTAACGTAAAATGTGCGTCTACTTTAAAACTTCGAGACAAATCGAATGGGTACCCCGATATCAGTGAAATATTGGCAAATTAATGTATTTAAATGCTATAAAAAAAGATTAATTATAACTTAAAATTAATTATGCTTGATATTATTTTGATTTATTTTATATGCAAAGTATTCAAATTAATTTTTTTTTTAATTTTGCTGTTATTGGGTTTGATTTGTTTCGAACAATTGGTACCCAAGAATTATTTGTACTCGCACATTTAACACAAGCTACGATAAAAATGCATGTATTTCATTATCCACAAATATAGTTGTTTGTAACCACATTTCCATAAAATTTGCTATATCAGCATATCCATTTATTTTTCAATAAAGAGATATATTTCTTAATAATGGAAGAACACATTTCCTCGCGTGAATATCAATCTCGTGAATTGAAGATGAACAATGGTAACTGTCGTTGATTCGTTACCGAAATTATTGCTATTGGGAGTAGTCCGGAAGATCTGGTATTCGTTCCCTCCTATAGCGGGGTCCCTGATATTCAACGGAACACTTAACTTTTCTTTGCGGATTGATCTTATGCGTGGTCCGATGAGAAGCAAGAATTTGACCGTTCTCCACTTTTAGGATTGTTCTTGTCTTTGTCGGATATTAACCGGCGTATGGGTTCCTGATATTCAACGGATCACTTAACTTTTCTTTGCGAATTGATCTTGCGGGATCCGACGTAGAAGTAAGAAGTTGATCGTTCTCCATTTTTAGGATTGTTCTTGTCTTTGTCGGATATTAACCGGCGTATTATCTGGCGGAGGGACTTTGATCTGGTCAAATTGTTGGGCCAGTTATCCTCCACTGAACGCGGCGATAACACAGTTTTTTTATAACGGTATCTTAAGATTTATAAGATTTTATCCAGTTTAGTCAATCCTTCGCGAAACGGTACATATCTTATTCTCATTCGCGAGATTCGCGATAAAATCACGTATTTGAAAATAAATCGGGCATTAAGTTTTATATTCAAAAGTGTCCTATATTGCAGACGCAATTATAAAAAGCGCTCCAAATGTTCGTCGAAACATTTTCGTTTAAAACTATAGTAATTATATCGTCCCTTCGATTGTTTCAAAAATTATATATACGTCGGAATCGATTATTACGGCTATCGTTGATTTATTTATTCGTCGCGTTTTTTTCGCAAATTTTAAATCGCGGTTTATTTTGTGATTTAATCGTTGATTTAAATCGAAGCTTTGTCTATCTTTTTTCGGATATTTTCTTTGAAAGTCTACGCAAAATGCATTAGTAGTCAATTGAAAAACGATCGATAACTTTATTAACGATTCTTTTGATCGTAATTGTTTGCATTATATAAAATTTAAAAAGCACGTTGATCATTAATCATAAATATTGCATTAAGGATGTACTTTATATTATTAATATTATTGATATATTATATATATTTATATTAATCAGATTCTCTCAAAACGTATATTTGGTCGAACATATATTCATGGCAAAATATAGTTACCGGTAGGGTCACCCATGCCGGACAGGTCGAAGGGGAAAAGTCAGACTAAGAAAGATACCGTAATTATTATATATTTATTATACTAATATTTTTAAATAAAATGGAAGCAAAAGAGACAGTAATCGAGAGAATAGAGAGAAAAAGAAGCTCCAAAATATTTTCATACCCTCCTCGGGGCTTACAGAAATAACTTGATACATAGTACGACATATAAAAAATCGATTTCTGAGAAACACAGAAGTCTATTCTACTATAATTTTTCTATAGTTTTGGTCTATAATTTTGTAATCTTTTATTTTTTGAAGAGATTTAATCATTAGCAGCATTAATTAATTCTTTCATGTTTATATAATCGCCCGGTAATAGGTATACTGTTAGGTATACTGTTTCGTATGACATTTTCGCAAAATATTGGTTGCAATATTGCATCAACCGGCCGTTGATAACGTTATCATTCTTCAATTATTTCCGGATACATCGAGCTCAGTTGATCGCGACGATTTCTACGCGATATATTGATAAGAATGATGAACTCATATTTATTGAGCACGGAAACAGATGTCGTTATCTACATATATTTTAGCCTATATTCTTCATATATAAATTATTTTTTTATGCGCGTATTCGTATATATTAAAAGATATAGAGAAAATACATAAATATATATGTACTGTAGGTATAAGATAATAATATAAAACTTTTTTGGAATACTTTTAAATTTTCTTTTAATATCTATTTTAGCTTATATTCTTTATATATAAAATAATTTGCTTTATATATATTTACATACAATAATCAGATGTAGAAAAAAGAAGCATAGATAAAGTAGATATGAATATAAAACTTTTCAGAATACTTAAAAATTTTCTTTTTTTTTTTAAATAAAAATAGTTATATTTTCATTTCTAAAATATTCATTTGTTATGTTCATTTGTAAAAAATATATTAGTTCTTAAAGTATTAATTATATAAACAGATATTTATTTGCTCCCTAATTTTTTTCAATATATTAAAATTAGCATGTAATTTTCTAATCGTAATCTTAAATATAATAAATATTACAAGATAAACACACACAGGAGGCATAACTACAAATATTTATTTATATATAGTTTCTACTGTATATTTATATCAGTCCAATATTAAACAATTAAACAACATATACAAATTGTATAATTAACATGATTGTACAAAATAAACATGATTTCTAAAACTATTTTTTTTTTATTATTTAAAGAAATGCGGTCTTTATAATGTAGCGTGAAAGACGAACAATTCTCTTCTGAACAGCTGGCTTTAATTATAATGAACAATATTTTGATTTTGATTTTCACCAGCTCTTTCTTCAGGATGTTTTTCGTCCATCTTTATTACTTTTCCCTGCATAGATATTTTCAATTCATTGAATGCATTTTGTAGATTTGCGTAAACTTGCTTCTCATAACACATATTTGAATAAATAGAATTTTGCATAGCAATTTTATTCTTAAGATTTCTGAGTTGGGGTTGGATTTTATGGTACGCTTCTTCGAAACTTAAACGACGATCTTTTTCCTTTATTAGAAGGTCAGTTTTATTTTCTAAGATTCTTATTAAATTCTGATTGCGCTCGATCATAAAAGACAGACGTTTTTTTAATTTATCTGCATTGACCCATCTGACATGACTTCTTTTTATTATATTTTGCAATTTGCATTTTCTATAATTTTTTCTTCTCGCCTTTTGTGCGTGTATTTGTAAAATACTACGTTGAATTCTCGATTGGGGATGCTGAAACAGAAAAAGAATACATATATATTATACAATCTTTTTAACCATTAAATCATTGAAATGCGTTTCTCATTTTTAACTCACATTCTGATTTTCGGAAAATCTATTTTCTTTCGATGTACATTGAAACACATCAGTTTTTGAAGTCAAATGTTGTATAGAAACATGCTCACAGCTTAACAATTTTTTTTTCATTGATATTTTTTCCCTTTTGCTTCTCCTCTTCTTCAGGATTTTGCGCATATTTTGCAATATATCGATAGACACTTCATTATCTCTGAGATCAACGTGTATAAGCACAGTGTTTGTTTGCAAGAGCTTTAATACAATTGCTCCTCCGTGTTGAGTAATACCGCAATATCGCAAACATAATGTTTTCAACCAGATATCGTTCTTCAGCATACGTGTCAATTGCCGCAAACCAATGTCGCCAAATTTATAATTTTTATCGAGTATCAGTACTCGTAGTCCTTCCGCCTAAAGTACAAATGTAATGTAAATTATTTATTATAAAACATTAAATAATATATCCGTAAAAACATCATTTCAATAAAGGTATTCTTTTTCTTTTCATACATACCACCGTTGTACGAACATTTTCTCGAGACAATGTTACTTCCTTCCTTATATTTTGCAATAAATCCGCTTTCCTTTTTTTTAAGAACAGTGACAAGTACGTAGCACTTCTATTAGTGAGACAACATGACGATAAATCCAGAGTATGGAGATTTGAATTATGTTGCAAATTGTCTAACAATATGTAGCATCCTGTAGAATAAAATAGAAACGTTGTAAATACATTGCTGTATTTATGCTTTTCTTTTTAATTAGTTAAGGTTTTATAAAAATATTTGAAAATTATTATATTTGAAATACATAAATTTAACTTATTTAATGTGTATTGGCTATTTGAAAATAAATTATTTACAATGACTAACCTGTATCACCTATTCGACATCTGGCCAACGACAAGCTTCGCAGATTTCGATTATTTGCCAAGCCATCACTGAGGATCCTTAAATAATTGGCTGCCAAAGGGATGCCATCCAGTGCGAGGCTGGTGATCATCAATGAATTTCTCAGACAGACAGCGACAGAATGGACGAAGCACCGTAGTAGAAAATTTGTATAGAAAACCGGCTGTTGTCGATCCCTTCGCGCGTATTTCCTGAACGTGCGAAAATGCCAATCCATTTGCCATTTTGCCATTTGTAAATTTACGTATCATCGTTTATTGGCATTATTTTTAACTTTCCTTTGATCGCCTCTGTTGCGTATATCACCTGAAAACTTAAACTTACTAGGAGTAGTATCGGAAAAAAAATTTAATAGTATTTTTTTATTATACTTTTTAAATGTTTATATATTTTATACATAACATTAATTTGAAAACAATATTAAAATTGTTTGATATAAAATGTAACTTTTAATTTTCTTTAATTAAATTTTATAAAAATTTTACATTGCGCTCTAGAGAGTATATTAAACTATTTTGCAAAAAAGATATATATTTAAAAAACTACATATTATATTTATTTATTTTTTTAGTCATTATAATTTTATTTTACATTTTTCAGAAAAAAGCAACAAGTTTTTTTACACTCAAAAATTAAATTTAGGTTTAAAAAATCGTAAAAGTTCAGATACAGATTTTTTATAATACTATATTTATCGCAAATTAAATTTTATATCAAAATGATTTGAATATTATTTGAACAGATCAAACAAAAAAAGCATATTCTAAGATATATTTCTTTACTTGCATATTTGAAAGCACAATTTTAATCAATCAAAATCTGCTAGTTAAAATAAATTTTCTACGTTTTCTCTTAGAAAACTTCTGATACAATTTTAATATTTTTGCGATTTACCATAATTTCATGAATTTCTCTTCTGTGTTTACTTTTTCTTTAATCCTTTTGTAATGACATCGACTATACACACAAATTTTGGATAGGCTTTGATCTTGCATTATACCGTTTAACAGCGGCGACCAATCTTCCAAACTTACATGTTCGACGCAAAATCGCAAACAGTTTTTTTGCAGATATATTTGTATTGGTAAAGGTATTACATTTTTCTCGCGACATAGTACCTTAATCGAATATCACACGTCTCGTCAAAAAAATAAAAAATTGCAACGTTAAATAAAAGTAATTAAGTGAAATGATTTATTAATTTCTATTTTACTCATTTGACGAGTTTATATACATATATTTCTTATTTTATTTTATATAATATTATTTCACTATCAAAATTTTGTAAGATTTTATTATCAAGATATATCTTCTTATAATTATAATTCATTATAAATAAATTCTTTGATAATAATTATAGATAAGATTAAAATAATTAAATTGTAAAATAGATATTACATATTCGAACAAACTTTTAATAATAACGAACCTTGTATGTCTGTTCAAATAGCTTACTAGAATCTTTTTCTTTACAATTTTGCATAATGTCATTTATAATTTTGCTTGATCACAAATTTTATGTGCTTTAATATCCTATAATTTTTGTCGGGAGATATATGTTCAGGAAAATACGGAAATGTCAGGTCACACGTTCTGAATGCATTAAGAGATCGATATAGTAGTATCGAACATTTGAATACTGTTGACAAAAAGATATTTCAAATTTCATTTCATATAAAATATATATTATAATATATATTAATATGTATGTCTATATACACAGGGTGTCCCAGAGTTAGCACACCACTTGCTAATGACAGATTCTTGCAATCATTTGAAGACGATTTTTTCTCAGCGAAAATATTAAGGCATTAATAATTTTTGAGTTTCGAGAAAGAAGAGTTTTACACAAATTAAACTTTGTAGAGTTAAAAAATTAACAAAATTACATTCTTCAGTTAATTACAGGTGAAGTTTACATTAATAAAAAATTTTAATTTAAGGCTTAGCTACAAAGATATATAATAGCAAAAAATAAAAACTCAATTATTCTTATAAATGCACTTGGGAATTTCAAGCTGCATAACCGAAAGAATACATTAACGTACAGATCGTATTAAAAATAACAGATAAGAAGAAAAATATAGATATACAAACTTACGATAAGCTCTTGCGCAAAGATAATTTACGTCACGGAAATTCTAAAACAGCCCTAAATAGTTGCCTTATAAAACGGCGCAGTATTAAGCGATTAAATTTACAGTGATAATTCCCTGGTCTCTCGTATTTGCTACTCGCAAATTCTACCTATGCTCCTTCCCCCCCTATTGTTGAATGTATCAAATGATCAAACACACGTGTATCTACCGTATATTAATCTCTTTATTTAATACTCAATATTACTGAAATATATACATATCTCTCTTGTTAATCAGTAAATTAAAATTGATGATGAAAGACATTTGAAAAGACTTTGAAGGAATGAGATACGCAGATTGCGAAGATATCTGCTCGTCCTCGGGAAATCGCACGATTTAGTCAGTGAGTGTGAGGCTATTGTGCTGTCTACGTCTGCGTTTGTCTTCATTAAAATCTCGTGCACACCTCGAAGCGCCGTGTCGCCTAACAATGAACGCTCGCAATTCAAACTGTTCGTGAGTTAGTGAAATCGCCGTCATTGTTCACCGTGATTCTTATGTGATGTTGCAAAAGTTCTCGTCGAAAAATTTTCGCTTTTATTTTATCATCTTCACGCTAGCCGCCAAATTATTTCATCCAAATACTAGCGCGTCTGGCTAATTGTTCCGTATATACTTATCTCTATTTCGTAAAGTGTAAAGTGCAAAAAAATGACTTTTAAAAGAAAGAATTCTTGCGTAGTGCAACATTGCAAAATTAATTTTGTCAAACGTAGTCATCGCCTTTTTCAGTGCAAAGATATATTTGAATGATTCTATGATCAAGAAACGCCGATAGACGCGTTCAGTAAATGTATGTATGTACGTATAATACCGTGTCTGGCTTATTATTATACTATTTTTTTATCATTGAAAAAAATTAACAGCTTTACTCTTTTCTATCAAAGTATCTCGAGATATTTTTATTTATCAAATAATGATTTATTTTTTTTTAACCCTTCTTTTTATAAAATTTCTCAACGATTTAATCTCTTCTATTTTATCTTTTTATTGTAATATGATAGAAATGTGTAATTATACATAAAAATTTATTAAATTAATGTAATATGCTAAACAGGGCTTACCGTATTAATATATTAATGGAAAAATAATATTGCAAATATTTAGTAATCAAATTCATTATCTTGTTTATGATATATATTTTAAATCTATTATTAGATTTATAGCCAAAAAACGAAATTAAATTTTTTCATTTATATAAAGGACAATAGCATATAAAAATTTCAAAATATTATAAATAGATAAAATCTTTTATTTTTTAAAGATATTCACCTTTGAGCTTGTTGTGTCTGCTCTTCTTTAATTTTAAACTTTTATGTTTAAATGCCTGTATCTGGATGTAGAAACTGTATGCTTGCATTACTACGAAAACAGTACCTCCGATAATTATGCATACACAGCACTATTTGCCTGCTTCGTGCCCACACATCGCGTAATCGGACGAATTACATGAACGGCTATCTCGCTCAGAACGTCCTCCAATTGCGCACGTTGTGGATCGTGACACTGCCAAGTGATACAGCTATTTGAGATGCGCCGCGAAACTTTTGAATTACGTGTAAACACTTTCGGTAGAGAAGATAAGATAAAACAAGCTAGAAAAATCGTGTGTGTGTGCACTCCGAGACGCATGACCCCGTACGTACAAATTACTCTGCTTCGATCTTGATGCGCATTCAATGACAAATTAATTGTCAACGATTGCAGAGTTTCCGCGATTTTCACAAGCGTTATCGCGTTTTATCTGAGTCTTTAACGACTGCGCTTTGTGCCGACATTCGGTTAATCGACTTGTAAATGAAACTCTAGTGATTGAAAAAATTCCTGTTGACTGGATGTAAAATTTATTGGCACGTGTTTCTCTCATTTAAAATTGTGACTCTAATAAATCAATTTAACAAATTGTTCCAAAGTAATTCAAAAGCAGCTTTATTAGAACAATCTTCTATATGCACTTTAATTAATATAAAATACCTTGCTTGATCAATGTTTGGGTTATGCAAAATCAGTGCGCAGAGGATTGTTTCCTTTGGTCTCAAGATAAGCGAATTGATATGGTATAAGCATAAGCATGCATCTTTGCTTGGTAAGTACAGGTTCTACTTAATGAGTTTTTATAATTTTTTATTTCTTTTAAATCTTATTTTTCTAAATTTTATGCAAGAAAAAAGATTCTTTTCTCTCAATTTTATTGTAATAAAAAGTAACCTAACAATACTTGTCGCTACTGTCATCAATGCTCTTCAGAATCTGGCCGGATACTTTTCGAAGTTTCCGATAATGCGAAAAAGGAGGTATTCGGCGAAGTGAGAACTCTTTTTAAAGATGGGATGCAAGTTTAGTATACTGGAGTGCATTAGAGGCAAAGTTTGTAAAGCCGAGCAGGAGAAGAGCATATCGGAAACTAGGAGTTCTTTAGTTACAAGCGGTAGGTTGTTTTTTTTCTTCCTTCTTTCCTTTTTTAATTTATTTTTCTTTTTACTATATCTTATATATACATACACATCTATATATACATTTTTTAAAGAAAGAATTTATATTATTATTTCCAAAGCTTAGGCTTGGAAGTTAGAATCTAAAGCAAAATATGTAGATAATATAAAATTGAAAAGATGTTTTTATATAACAATGCAAAACAATTTATAATTTATATCTTTATATTAAAATTAGAATCTCTCGATTAATTCTAATAATTAATTCTACGCTGCATTTATGCAATCATAAATTTAGAATTCTTTTTGTTATATAAAATGTTATATTTTTTATGGGATTACTATTTAATAATTTGATAATGTTTTACTATTACTTTATTTCATCGATTATACACATTAATTCATCAATGATCTGATTCATGATCAATCAATGAATGGCATCATAAAGACTGTGTATAAACCACGTACGCCATCTCTAGTTACACATTTTTTATGAGAAGCTTAAATGCCTTCTTTTTCTGGCTGCATAATGTAATAAAGTTTGCATATATTTAGCTCCTGGCCACACGTGATAGACGACTGGAGAATGTCAAACATCAAAGCATAGCAATCTTCTTTCGAAGGTCGAATTCTGCGCAATTACGTTCTTGTTCGGTGTTTGCTCGCTGATCGCTTTAAAGATGTAGAAAGCAACCCGTCAAGAATTCATTTTTTAAATGACTATTTCTACCTTTCTCTTCATTGTGTGAATTTAATCTATATTTACATATATATATATATATATATATATATATATATATATATATATATATATATATATATATATATATATATATATATATATATATATATATATATATATATATATATATATATATATATATATATATATATATATATATATATATATTTGCTACATCAATTGAAACACAACCTTTGCTGTATCAGTTGAAGCACCAAGATATGTATAAAATACAGGGAAAAAAGAAAATTTAATATTTTATTTTAATATTATATTATTATTTTCAAATATTTTTATATAAATATTTTTATATAAAATTGCAACTGCCATGAAAAAATAATTATTTATTAATTTAAAAATATAATTTGCAATAAAAAATATATAATCATCTTCATTATATATATAATATTATTATTTATTAATAATAATTAGTGTATATCCACAATTATTGTTTTAATATTAACTATTGAGCAAATTATATGATCAAACATTACGTCATATGTCAAAAATGTTATTCCATAGTCAAAAAAACTGTCGTTTCAATATTTTTTTATCAAACGAGATTGTGTTGTTTAAATCTTATTTCTTCCCTTGGCTTCTAATCATAATATCAGTTGATATTAATAAAGTTAAACGATCACAGAGATTAGAGTATTACCGCACGTCCGTGTATCTTTTATGAAGGAGAGAGGAAGGGCGGAGAGGTAGACCTCAGGTAACAGTCATTCTCCTTGACCTAGTCTACAACTGACCACACTGTACGTGTATCGGTTGAGGTCATCGTTCGAGACGTGAATTAATCAGATGTATGAATCCAGATAGCAACGCGATATGTTTCTAATTTTTCGATTTAGGAGTCTGAACGGCGCAATGTCGAGTCGGAGTCGTGTAATATTCCATTCTCAATCGGCTCTAGAATAAAATTAAAGGATCGGCTTTTTTACGTGGAATAATTTTTGTAATTCTATTTCTAATTCTTTTATTTCTAATTCTATTTTTAATCCGCATTTATATCAATAATTCTTAGATCTATTGCGAGAGCTACTTATATCATTATTAAACTTTTATTATTTTTACTTTTACTTTTTACCATTAATCACTTTTATCGTTAGATATTTAATAAGAAATATTTATGTATTACAACCATCATCTTTTTCCAGATAGTAATCCTTGTGCAAAAAAAATGAGTTTTATTACACATTAAGTTGCTATATAACCAATGTCATGAGCTATTGTGTTCTGCAAAGATTATGTAAACAGGCTTTTTATATGTATATTCGTTTCTCTTTATGTGACCATCGTTGTAACGCAGCTTACAGATAAATATTTTACAGATATTCACAAATTCAGATATAGTTGATTAAATGTTAAATTTTTATCAAATTTATTATGTAAATGCAGGTTAGGTACACTTCATCGATTATCGATTCTTTAGATAGTTTATCAAATGTTTTAAGATATTAGTTGCTCTAGTTTGCTAGTGACAAGTATTTATATGTAGATATTATTTACAGATGCTACAGAGACCGACAGAGATGAAGAAAGTCCATATCTCGCGTTCGACAACCGCCCTTTTGTCGCCGAAGAGGACGATCATAAAGTAGCAAAACGTTAGTTACAATTAATTATTATATAAATATTATTTAATACCACATATATATAGCCGAAAAATATAATACTCTCTCATGACGAAAGTGGCATTTACATTTTACGTAATAAAGATCGTGATCGGTTTTTTCAATATTTTATCTCGATTTTATTAATATTAATATTTATCCGCACGCACGTATCTTCCCTTTCAATTAACTAATTGAATTAATTTTATTAATATATTTGTTTGATATGTTAAATATTGAATGATATAAACTACTTCATTAATATCGACATCTACGATATTTTTGCATTCATATAAGCAAGTACAAGTTTTTTGGATTTTTATCTTATCAGATTTAAGATTATTAAAGTATTTAAATCAAATGCCTATGGTACAGTATAATAATTTTCATTCTAACCGAAATAATTATAATATAGTTATTATCCTAGATAATTAATACTCTGTATATAACTATTTAATATCTTTTTCTCTTTCAAGTTTAATAATCTATCGTGTTAATATTCTGTATATATTTTTATTAATCATTATACACATATGTATATATATAGTAGATATTGATATTTATTCTTTTTCTTGCAAATAATATTTTATTGCCAATTTATTTTAACATACAATTCCATTTTTTTTAAACTTAATGTTTGGCGTAATACGTTAGTTTTGTGCCTGTGTAACATGTTTAAATGCATCTACAATATCTCTGGTCTCCCCGACGACGCTATCGCGTCGCTCCTCCGGGGCCAGTCACTCTCGAATAGAATTTTAACTTGGTCGATTCGGTACTCTCGGTCAGTCGCTCTCTTTGGGCCGCAAATGATACATCGTTCGACGTTGACGTGTACATATATCGATCTCGCGATTTCAACAGCCGCAAACTGTCGAAAGAAATCGTATTTCAGTGTCATTAACTGTGAAATTTTATGAATTGATTTTTTAAAGTGCACATGTTGTGAGCGAAATATATTATTTTTAAATGTGATGCCAAAAGAAAAATCAAATATTTGAAGAATAAAAACTGCATTTTGACTAAATTGAAATAAATGCATTATTAAACTTATAAATAGAATCGCAAAATAATTTATGAATACGATATTAATTTGTAAAAAGTTATTCGTAATAATATTAATACTATATTTTTAATTTACATTATGCAAAAAGATTAATATATTATGTTTGCATGATTAATAATATAAAATGTATAATAAAAATGTTTTGTAATATATTTATTGAGATTTAAAATAATTAAAGTTTATTATAAACATAAAAATGAAATAAAACTTATTTGAACAGTGTGAAAAGATTTTAGTGATTTTTTAGAAGAGTAATTTTATATAATAAAATTTTTTTTTAAATGTGTAAACAATGATAAATAATAACATAACGCTATCAAATGTGACGAGAATAAATACGAAGAAATACAATTTCATATAATATGAAATTACGTAACTCTATGTAACTCAATTCCAGTGTCATTAACTGTGAAATCTCAATGATTGCAAGGCTGAAAACGTAATTCATATGGCATCGCCGCCGAATAAGTATTTTTTTCCAAGCGAGAACGAAAACAGCTTGGAAGATGAATTATTTCCTATTCAATTCTTCGGTGCGTTAAAAAATATTTAATTTTAAGCCCGACTTTGATCCTATTAAATACACGTGCGCTCATAAAATCTATAATAATTTTGTTTTATGATATACGTCATCTTATCAATAGAATGTATTTTTCTTTAAAATAATCGAAGCAACAATTAATCCACTTTACCAATTAGATTCAATTGACTTTTAATTGCAATTAATGATACTATGACCCATAAACCCCATAGGATATGCGTATTGAATAGACAGTTGCATCCCTAACGAGCTTCGTCACTATAATTACTAATGCATTGACAACTGAATGTTAATTGATAGATTGAGAGCGCAATTAAAAAAAAAAGTTCAATATATTCAAACAGAATGTCGCTTCCAGAGTTACACGAAACTAAGCGTGGCTCTAAAGTTGATAGACCTCCAATTACAAAGCTATGGTCACGCTTAGCGACTACCTGTTGCTCAGAATTTTTGATTATTCATAAAACATCCCTCCAAGCATCAGAGCGTAATTATAATTGAAGTTATAAATATTTAATGGGGTTGTTTCAGATAAGACGGATGTGCTTGACATTGTGGATAAAAAGTACGAAAAAACACTTTTCGAAGACATCACGCATGATGAGAATGGCGATTACTTGACTATTGTAAGTCACAACATTATCATTTATTGTAGTAAATATAAATTATTTTATTTTATATATAATATATATATATATATATATCTTTTTTATACTTCAAAGAAACTAACAAGCAACTTATCTTTAATGTTTTTCATTTATCTTTCTGCCCATTATTTATATATTAACAATATGCAAAAATTTTGTTTTTTCTGTAAAATAAATCTTTAAGTTATAATATTATTAATAAATTATAGTACATATTAAAGAATAGAGAT